CCAGCCCCACTCCCTGCCAGCTGGTTCCCTCCGGCCAGCCCTGCTCCCATCCCATCCAGACCCCACCCCCATCGGAGATCAAGTGTGTCCGGTATTTTTTTAAAATCATCTGGTAACCCTAGTTGCTTTTACTGATGATTAGGCGTCTGTGCCCCCTGCTAGCTACGCTCACCATTGCAGACTCTCCCCCTGGCCACCAAGGAGGGCTGGTCCGTGCCCACGCCAGCCCAGGCCCCAGCCCTTTCTCTCTCCCCTGCGCCCTCCATCGATGCCTAACCCTAACTTCTGCCTGGGAGGGCCAGGCCCTGGCCATGGTGCACCATCCCCAGCTCTCCATATGACCACCAGAGAGGGCTGGGCTGGCGGTGGATGGGGATTGGCTCCAGGGACAAGGCCTTGAGCAGAAGGGGTGGGGCTGGGTTTTACCACCAATGCCTACCTCCCCTCCAGCCTGTGGACACTGTGATGCGATAACATCACTCTGTCGTCCCACCAGGACAAAAAGAGTTTATATAGAGAGAGAGGTAAGAGGAAGCTGTGTACTGAATTTGGTGGTATTAGCTCTTACTGTTTAGAAAAAGTTCTTGAACAAACAGGCAGAAAAGCTCTCAAATATATAGTAGGTTTTTAATCAGAGCCATAGAGCTGGAAGAGACCTCAGAAGGTCATCAGGTCCAGCCCCTGCCCTAGGTAGGACCAATCGCAACTAAATCAACCCAGCCAGGGCTTTATCAAGCCAAGACTTAAAAATCTAGAATAGTGATAGAAATGTAGCTGTGTTAGTCTGGTGTAGCTGAAACAAAATGCAGGACAATGTAGCACTTTAAAGACTAACAAGATGGTTTATTAGATGATGAGCTTTCGTGGGCCAGACCCACTTCTTCAGATCAAATAGTGGAAGAAAATAGTCACAACCATATATACCAAAGGATACAATTAAAAAAAATGAACACATATGAAAAGGACAAATCACATTTCAGAACAGAGAGGGGTTGCGGGGGGTTAGGTGGTTGTCCTCAAGATGATTCTTACCAACAACCACAGGACATATCACACTAATACCAACCCTGGTACTTTTCCTTGCAACAAACCCTGTTGCCAGCTTTGTCCACATATTCACTCTGCTGACACCATTATTGGGCCTAACCAAGTGACTTATAAGATCAAGAATACATATTCCTGCGCATCCAGAAATATAATCTATGCTATCATGTGCCGAAAGTGTCCGTCTGCTATGTACATTGGACAAACGTCTCAGACACTTCGCCAAAGAATCAATGCCCACAAAACAGACATTAGACAGGATCACAAAGAAAAAACAGTTTCTTGCCATTTCAACCAGAAAGGACACTGTCTCAGTGACCTAATCACATGCATCCTACTTCAGAAGACATTCAAATCTGCACTTGAAAGGGAATCCTCTGAACTGGCATTCATGCTAAAATTCGACACTCTCCGCAGGGGGCTGAACAAAGACCCCAACTATCTTACCCATTACAAAGATAGCTTCCCCAATTATCACCTCTAATACCATTAACTCACAGACATCTCCCCTTCCCCACCTCTAATATCATTAACTCACAGGCATTTATCTTCCTTCCCCCCCGCCCCTCCGCAACCCCTCTCTGTTCTGAAATGTGATTTGTCCTTTTCATATGTGTTAATTTTTTTAATTGTATCCTTTGGTATATATGGTTGTGACTATTTTCTTCCACTATTTGATCTGAGGAAGTGGGTCTGGCCCACGAAAGCTCATCATCTAATAAACCATCTTGTTAGTCTTTAAAGTGCTACATATTTTGTTTTAAAAATCTAGGTAACTCATTCCAGTGCTTCCCCACTCTCCTAGTGAAATAGTTTTTCCTAATATCCAACCTGGACCTCTCCCACCGCAACTTGAGACCATTGTTCCTTGTTCTGCCATCTGTCACTACTGAGAACAGCCTTTCTCCAGCCTCTTTCTCTTTAACATTTAGTAGCAGAAGGAATTACAAAGTGATAAGATATGGAAATGAATGAAGTTGAAAACCAAAGAGAATATGACTCTTAATTTTTTTCTTAGCAGTCTAAAATAAAAGTTATGGGTTTTGGAAGCAATTATTAGTAAGAGAACTATTTTCTGCTTGTGTTTTTGTGTTTTTCAAAGTGTAAAAGTGAGTGTTAAATCATATCATATACATAAAAAACTCAGGCAATCCATAACTGTCATAGGGTTTAAAAAATCATTTGTATTGAACATACAGGCTTCATAACTTATCAGATATTCAAGAATTAAATGTACTATCTGAGATTTGCAAAGCACTTTGTTTTAGCTCAGTATTCAATCTGAGAACATAGGAAACAAAAAGTAGAAGAAAATGCACTCTTAGCGTTTATGAGGATTTAACGCACATGCTTGTGCAGTATACAGCATCTCATTCTTTCTTGACTTTTGTAGGTATTGCTTCTCCTTTCAAGCCTATTATGGACACCACTTACTACTACTCAGGTCAGTACCTTAAAATGAATAGTTCAGGTTTAAAAATTCAAGCAGTTCTTTTTATTAGGCCTGAGTCATCTTGATTTCTATAACTTTACAGCTGTGGAAAGAAATAACTTGATGAGACTATCACAGAGCATTCCTTTCACTCCCGTGCCTCCAAGAGGTAAGTAAGAAGCTTAATCTTTGTTATTGGAGTAGGTGGGAACCAAGTCAGAATTAGGGTCTAATGTGATTCATTAAGAATGTTTTCAAACTTAAAAAATTTGTCAAATATTTTTAATACAGAATGAACAGACCAAACTTGATCACCACAAAATGCAGACTTCAATAATAGTCACATCTTTGCCAATACAGTTGTTTGCGTAAAAGAAACTGTATGACTTACTTCTAGTAGTCTTCGGGTTAATACAACTTCTCTGAAAAGAATTATGTAAAATGTGTGGAAAAGCTCTTCAAACTTTTTTCTGCTTTGTTATGCTTATTTTATATGGGTTCCATCATTATGGTAACTAGGCATACTTTGCTCTGTCTAAACTGAGTGATTAATACTTACTTCCACTAAGCGAAGCAAAAACATCATGTTCTCCCTCCTGCTGGTTTAAGAAAAAGCTTAGATAGGGTTCTTCCAAACGGTTAGGAGAATATTTAAATATTTGCGGCCTGGTTTGTAATAAATTCTCAGAAAAGAAATGTACTATTAATATTTCTGTACTGTGATATTACAGGTGAGCCAGTCACTGTGTATCGCCTTGAAGAAAGTTCTCCCAACATCTTGAACAACAGCATGTCTTCCTGGTCACAGCTAGGACTCTGTGCTAAAATTGAATTTTTAAGTAAAGAGGAGATGGGAGGTGGATTACGTCGAGCTGTTAAAGTAGTATGCACGTGGTCAGAATATGATATCCTGAAATCAGGACATCTTTATATCATCAAATCTTTTCTTCCTGAAGTTGTAAATACTTGGTCAAGCATTTATAAAGAAGACACAGTGTTACACCTCTGTTTGAGAGTAAGTTTTATTCTTGCCAATTACTAGTCATTGACAGGTGAAAATATTAAAAATTCATTTTCTGCTTTTAATGTTCTATACAAACCAAAGGCCAATTTAAATGTTTCTTGTTTATTATATGTTTTTATTTTGTGCTAAATTATTTCATTTCTTGATATAGAAGGAATTGAAATAGTTGTGTAAATGTACATAACTTCTGTTAGGGAATAAAAAGACATTAACCTTACTGCTATTTTATTTCCTACATTTTCCCCTACATTATGTAATTAAATTACTTGTACTATGGGTTTTCAATTGTAGGAAATTCAACAACAGAGGGCAGCACAGAAGCTCACATTTGCTTTCAATCAAATGAAACCTAAATCCATTCCATATTCTCCTAGGTAAGTGTGTTCAATTATTCACGATACTGCGCACTTTCTACTATCCAACTATACTTTCAAGCATATTACCATTTGGAAACAGTGTGTCCTGGGATTCAATACACCTTGAAAAAATGTTTTTTAAATAAGTACTAACATGCAAATCTTCAGCTACCATCTTGGGGAAGAATATTTCCTATAGGTACTTAACAAAGATAGACTTAACTCATATTTTATAAGCTAGCCAGTTTTAAAAATAAGTTTGTTTAAACCAAAAGATTTATCAGACAGCAACTGTATACTTGCCTCCTCTTGTTGGTTTTGGTAATGTTCATTAAATGTGTTCTTTATAAGGTTTCTGGAAGTTTTCCTGTTATATTGTCACTCAGCTGGGCAGTGGTTTGCAGTTGAGGAGTGCATGACTGGAGAGTTTAGAAAATACAACAATAACAACGGTGATGAAATAATTCCAACTAACATGCTAGAAGAAGTCATGCTAGCATTCAGCCACTGGACTTATGAATATACAAGAGGGGAGTTGTTAGTCCTGGACTTGCAAGGTAATATATTTATCATCAACTGCACATATATGGTGCTGAGGTCTAAATTAGCTGTAACCACTCAAGAAAGAGATCTTGGAGTCATTGTGCATAGTTCTCTGAAAACAACCACTCAGTGTGCAGCAGGGTGGATTTGACTTAAATCATGATTTAAATCACTAGTCAGGAAGATATGATTTAATCATGGTTTTCTACATAAAAGTGCATTCTAGAAAGAGAATGGTATGGTAGATCTTAAATCAATGAAGGCTGTGCTCAGAAAGTCCTCAACATTTCTGGAATATCCTACTTGCCTGTCCCTCCCTTTTCACATTTATCTCCAGATTTCTTCTCCTTGTCCAGATGGATTCCACCTCCAAGTATCTTCTATTCATTTAACTTTTTGAAACTTTGCATTTTTAGAGAGAGGTACTCTCATGACTGTGTACACAAATTTGCAGACACACAATAGGGTTGAAGTCTGTTATATCTCACCTCAATGTTTATTTATTGAAAAACATTTTTGCTGTTAGGAAGCAAGTTATCTCTACACACACAAATCCACAGTTTGAGAACTGCAAAACTATAACATCCCTGATGGTATCTTCTGGACTGAGCCCCGTTGAGTAGATAGAAAGATTAACCTAAATAATCTGTACGTAAGCTTTTGTCCCTAATATATGAACTATTGGAACTCATTTACAAAACTTTTCTTAAACATTACATGAATATATTATCTCATACTATAAAATTTAGAATTTATAATCCCTATTTCATGATGAGATATCTTTGAGCTACAATGTATCTTAATTCAAAATCTTTAGAGAAGTTTTTTCCCACAAAAAGGATTGTATCAAAAATCTTGATTTAAATACAAAAATTTAATTTTTAATTTTTTTTTTAAAATTGATTTGTATCCACCCTGGTGTGTAGCGGCAATCAAAAAAGTGAACAGAATATTGGAACTAATTAAGAAAAGAACATATAATAAAGACATGGGGTCTCCCCCAGGATCAGGGTCTTTTCTGCATCTAGATGGGGGCTGGACAATGGGGCCTGCCCAGGATCAGGGCCGGAGACAAGACGCTGTGGCCAGATCGGGCCTGGGCCCAAATTGGGGCCTTGTTGGCCAGGCTTCATTTTAAATAAAGTAAAATATTATGTCCAACAAAAAGGTTTCAACATTGTCTTCATTTGTGGCAGAGGTGGGGAACCCACAGAAAAATCAGTTGGGGACCACACAAGTGAGAAGGGGGAGGGAGAGGAAGCACCTCCAAAAACCCTCAACCCTCACTGATGTGGTCCTTAACTGAAACACCTCACTCCCCTGGTGCTTCAGCCCCATAAGGGAGGAGGCAGGACTGAGGTTCAAGGCCTCAGGCCAGTTTAATTCTTTTGGGGTTCCAGGGTTACTGGATTTTGTGGGCCCCTTAGGCTATGGGGTGTGGCCAAAAAATGAGGGGTTCAGTGAGTGGGATAGGAATGGGGGTGCAGGATCTGGACAGGAGGTGGGATGCAGAAGGGGCTGAGAGTGCGAGGTCTGAGTGGGAGGGTGTCGGAGGTTGTCTGGCCAAGGTGGTAGGGGGAGGGTTGGGTTCAGGGTCTGGGCAGGAGGGGTTGGGGTGCACTTACTGGTCTTCAGGACCTGTGCCAGTCCCAGGCTTGGCCTCCTGCTGCTCCTATTAGCTAGATTCTGGTCAGTGGGAGCATAGGGGAAGCCTCCAGACGACACACTCGTGCACTGCTGTTTCCCCAGCCTGGGAGGGGGAGCGCTTCTTCCCCATGCAGCGAGGCTTGGGGATTTTGCCCCCTTCCACCAGCAGGAAGCCAGTGCTGGTGCTCCAACTGTGTGGGGGAGAAGGAAGGCTGAGGCTGCAGTACCAGGCAAAGGGGGCCCAGGCCACTCAGATCAGTGCTGCCAGGCATCTCCTCACCTGCCTTGCAGAAGCGCCTGCTGTTGCTGCTGCAGCCCTGTGTGTGGCTGGGCAGGAGGGAGCCAGGCTGGATTTGAGTCTCGCTGGCGTGGCTCAGCGCTGGGCTCAGGATGTCCCCCTGGGCCGAGGAACAGGCTGCCCAAAAGGCCATGGCCACAGCTGAGTGAACAGACTTCTTGGGATGTGGAATCTGCTCGGGCTGGGCTGACAGGTGGCTTTGCTGTCTGTGAACAGTGTCCTGGCAGGGAGCCCATGTGAAAGTAGCGCCTGTGGACTCAGAGTGACATGATAGCGTCACTTTTGTCCCACAAGAATTTTTTTTATATATAGAGAAAATATCATATTGATGCTGTATAAAGCCATCCACCCTCTTCTTGAATATTTCATGCAGATGCGATCATCCCATGTCAAAAAAGATATATTGAGAAATGTTCAGATAAAAGCAATAAAAATGATTAGGAGTATGGAACAGATTCGGTATAAGGAGAGATTAATGAGACTGAGACTTTTCAGCTGGGAAATCAGAGGACTAAGGGGGAATATGATTGAGGTCTCTAAAATCAAGACTTGTGTGG